CGGTAACCTGCCATCAGAGCCACAGCCCCAACACCCTCCCTCCCAGGGACTCGTGCCACATACCAGGCGACTAATTTCCTCCTGCCTGTCTGGGGCAGACCTGGCTGTTGCTTTTATCATGGTTGACGTTTGATTGTCTGTGAGCTTCTTGATGCACCGCTGACCTGCCACGATGTTGCACACCTGCACGGGAGGGGAGAGGTGACAGCCACGTGTTAGGGACAGACGAGACACGAGGGACCACAGCTGAGCTGCCCCGTGGGTCAGGCACTCAGACCCTGCAGCCAGCCCCAAACCAGAGGTGCTGAGCCTGCAGCTGCAGGAAAATGGTACTTTTACAGCGTGGTCTCTTCCCTCACCTACTAGAAATGGCTCTTGCCAGGTCAACATTGAGGCAATTAGTGCCCAGGACACATGAGCTGCAGAACATTGTCACACATCTGCCAGCAAAGGTCACTTGCCTCTGCTCTGCACAGTGCCCAAAAGCCGGGGTGCCCAGTGGTGCCACTCACCTCCAAGGGCAGGTAGGTGTGCTTCTGCTCCTGGCCAACCTGGAGACAGGGCAGGTGGGGGTATTTCAGCTGCAGGTTGTATTTCTGCTTAAAGTACTGAGCCACTGTGCACTCCACTGTCTGACCGCTCTCCAGCTGCAGGGGAAACCTGGCAGAGGCAGGACACGAAGGATGCACCTACTCAGAACAGAAACTTCCAGACCTCAAGCTCTACTTACTCTGGCTGGGAAGAGAGGGAACAGGCAGGCGCCCGCTCCCAGCCACCATAGAAGAAAATGAAAAGCAGAACAGTGGTATTTTCAGAAATCGAGTCAGGAATACTCTGATCCCAGCGTAGGACTGAGGTCTCTAAATAAAGCTCTCCCTCACTAATCCAGCTAATCAGGGCAAATGTTTATTGCAGGACATGCCACGCATGCCACTGCCAGGTACATAAATACAGCACACTGGCACTCAGGAGGACTTCTGTGCGTGGTGCCCTCCCTGGGAACAGAGCTGAGCTCCAGGCAAAGGTTAACCGGCCTCTCCTGGTACGGGGCAGTGGGTCTGGGGTGGGCAGAGC